GAGCATCAACTTTAGGCGACAGCCATGATGACTTTTCTAGTTTTTCATTTATCAAAATAAAATTGTGAACATTTAAAAATAACATAATGAAAACATATATGTATATGTTACCTATTCTGATTTACATTACAAGTAAAGCTGCCTGTAAAGTAAAACAACCTTTCAGTACTTTAAAGCTTTCCTCATCACACAAGAGCAAAACGGATTTGTTGTCAATGCACAGCACAAACTATCGTGGGGACTATGAGTGCCAGCTGTGGGCAAGGTTTCGCGGCCAGTGAGCACCATATCAAAGTGGTTTAAAGATCTGAATGTTAGGCATCTTCATGAACTGAAAGATGATACTGTAAAACAAAGATCCTATTTAGACTCTAATATTAATTAAATAATTACTTTCCATATTTACAGCATTTACTGCCAGCTCACTAAGACGCCTACCCTAAGCTAAGCATTTTATTTTATTTTTCTTTACTCTTCTTACCCAGCAGCAGTAGCAGATAAGAACTATTTACCGGCCCCAACCATGAGCACCCTCTTTGTTTACCTAGTAACCCGAGGACATGTACCAACAACCACAAGTTATTGGGATTCTAGATCAAAGAGAATGCCAGATGTCATTTTTTAAAGTTTCGTTTCTTTTTTTTTTTTTGAGACAGAGTCTTGCTTTGTTGCCCAGGCTAGAGTGAGTGCGGTGGCATCAGCCTAGTTCACAGCAACCTCAAACTCCTGGGCTCAAGCGATCCTCCTGCCTCAGCCTCCCAAGTAGCTGGGACTACAGGCATGCGCCACCCTGCCCGGCCAATTTTTTCTATATATATTAGTTGGCCAATTAATTTGTATCTATTTTTAGTAGAGACGGGGGGTGGGGGGGGTGGGGTCTCGCTCTTGCTCAGGCTGGTTTCAAACTCCCGACCTTGAGCTATCCTCCTGCCTCAACCTTCCAGAGTGCTAGGATTATAGGCGTGAGGCACTGCGCCCAGTCCATTTTTCAAAGTTTCTAGGGGGAAAAAAAGCAAGTATTTTATAGCAATTATCTTTTGCATTTTAGAATAGTTAAAAAAAATTAAACCTAAACTTTCATTATTACTTCATACAGAACTTTCGCAGAGCCTTGAGCCTTATCTGTACAGAGAACATTAGAAATTGATATACAAATGAAAAATTGTATCATATCCCCATCACATCAAAGGCACTCCCCAGTCCAATCACATATACCTGTCCCAGTAATAAATTACATTCAGATCGGGAAAGATAACATAGCACTTAATATCATATAACTTCTATTGTATTACAAGTCTATGTTTATGTTTACAATAGAAATTAACTAAGTTAAAACCTAAAGTTTTTAAGGTTTTAAGTGCCTATAAACCCATTTAAAGGCACATATCTAGGCCAGGCCTGGTGGCTCACACCTGTAATTCCAGCACTTTGAGAGACCTCAAAGGATCGCTTGAGGTTAGGAGTCTGAGACCAGCCTGGGCAACATACTGAGACCTGTCTCTACAAAAATAAAACAATTACCTGTGTGTGGGGGGGCGCACCTATAGTCCCAGCTACTCTGGTACTCTGGAGGCTGAGGTGGGAGCCCAGGAACTGGAGGCTGTAGTGAGCTATAACAATGCCACTGCACTCCAGCCTGGGCAACAGAGACCCTGTCTGGGGGAAGGGAGGGGGGGAATTCAGAGCCCTTGATCCTAATGATCCAACAAGAAAGGTCTACTACATAGCTAAGAATTACAAATTACAGCACTTCGCTTCTTGGACAGTGTTAAGCCTTGGAATAACCAACCACATATATATAGAAGTAACAAAACTACAGTAGTAGTCTACAACCCTTCCACCCCAACCCCAACCAACCTAATATCCTCCATCCCACTTTCAGAACCTGTAGCCAGAAGTATGGGATAGTTTTACCAAATTCTAACCAAAGTACTGTTAACTAAAAAACGTACTAAGAACATTTAACAAACCATTATTCATTTCTTTGGTTTTGATCATTCTTAAAATAGTTAACAACAGCATTCATATTGTAAGCTAATTGGTATTAGTCCCAATCACAATCTTAACATTTTTATCTAGTAATCTTCTCGGATTCCTATGTTTATCTATACATAATAACTAGGATATCTTAAATAACAAGCACTTTTCGTCACTTCTCAATACTCTGTACTTTTAGACTTCAAGAAGCTGGTTCAATTTTATCTCAATTCCCCTTAATACATTAGATTCTCATCTTTTAAGAAGTTCCAGCATTTACGCAAATTTTTTTCATTTTTTTCCCTCATTACAAAAGTAAAGGTAATTTATTGTACAAACTTCAGAAAAACACTAGGAAGAAAACACAAACACATAATGCCAAAATCCTGAGCAAACAATATTTTGGAGTACATCTCTATTTCCATGTTTTACATATTCCTTTAAAAACAAACAAAATAATCAAACTTGACATCTGAGGTTTTAAGATGTTTTCTTTCCCAGTTAATAATGCATACCATTATCATTTTCCCATCATTACTCTCCTCCTAAAATATTGTTTCAAGTAGCTGTATAGCTTTTCATTTCCACATTAAAATTAGAAGATCCCCCAAAAGTTGAATCTTTAGGTTAACATACTTAATAAGGAATATTAACATTTACATACACAAATCATTGACATATTATTTCCCTAGAATAAATTCTTGTAAGTATAGTCCTTCCATTGATTGAATCAAGACCCAAGAGTTCTGTGCCACACTGATTAACTATATAATCCAGGATGGTCCAGGACCTATCTGGACTTTAATCTTCTTTTCTATAAAATTTGGAATTCAAGCTATGTGATACTTCCAAAATATGACATTATCGCTGCATTTCCCAGTTAAAATCTGACTACTTAATATCATTGACTGATTTATAATATTAGCGTTTACATTTTCTAAAAGCATCAATAATAAAAGTAGTATGTTTAAAGACTTTTAATATAAATGTTCAGAACAAGGGTGGTTAAAACCTTCCGAATTAGTTCAAAATGCTATCTAACCAGTACACAGGCGAAAAGGAAAATAAAGTGAAACTTCTTCTCTGGATAAAGTATAAACTAATATTATAAGCATATGATGTTAAGTGCAAAGGAGGAAATGTAAATTTAAAACACTTCAACACAAATATCTTCTGGCTAAATGATCTCTTTCAAATCTTACATAACCAACCAGAAGAATCTTCACGTGGTACTTCAATGGTGTTTAATTTCGAGTTTGTAAAAACATTCTATTTAAACGGAAAATGCATGACCCATAGTGTTTTTGCAACAAAAATGTGTACCCTCCCCGCCCTTATTTCTAAAACAATACTAATGTTGAAAAACTGTGTAGACTGCGCAGATGACTGAACCATTAGTAAAATGATTTTTCGGAGAGAAATTTTATTTTGAACATTTATGAAAGTAGCCTAAAATATAATTTTTGCTTCCACAGTCTATTTAAATTTGGGGGGAGAAAAATGCATTTTACCGACTACTGAAAAATCTAAGCCAAGGTTTAACATACAGAACGCGGCCTCAACACAAAATTTCTTGACTACTACCTGCGAAATCAACGACTCTTGACTTTATTCCAGGGCGTTTGAAAGACTAGAAATTTCGGAAATCATCATAACCGTTCTAGAAATGTCTAGCTGAAAAACTGTAACCGATCCAACAGGAATATTCCTGTTGAAGGGCTATTCCACAGAACAGGGCCACAGGGCAGGATAAACACCTAGGAGATATTCATCCACCATAAATGTAGAACACAGAACATGGCACAGCGCTAGAAATGAACGACGACGCGACGACTACACCACGGTACTCTCCAAACCCTTTGTCTGGAAACCGGAAGGTCCCCCACCACACGATCCCCTCAGAGGAACCTGAACTAACAGTATTTTTTATAAAGAGAAAAAGGATGGCAGGTGACTGACTAAACGAACAAATCACCTCCTTCGCAGCATACTGCAGAAGGCTTTCACCACGACGCAATACGAAAAACAAGCGTTAACGTTTCATTTTTCGGCCATTTTTACGCGATGAGGGGGCAGGGAATTGTTTCTGGTGTCCAGCTAAAACGGCGCGCGCGCGTGTGTGGGCGGGGGAGTCTGAGGGGGCGCTATGAAGCGATGGGCGAGAAGCGGCGCGAAGGCCGTGACACCAGGGAAAGAAAGAAGCGTTGCTCAAACACCCAGCTTTCAGAGTCCGCGAAATCCTCCATTTTGGGGCATATTTTCAGAGGAAAAAAGGCAAACGGATTATTTGGGGCTGGCGCTAACCAAGGACTTTGCTATCTTAACCGTCCTCCCCAAAGGGCAGGCCTCCAATGGACACTGTCCCTCAGGCCTCGAGCGCTCCTCCCTCCCCCTCAGCGTTGCGGCCCGCATGTAACGGGCTTGTTGTCCCGCCCCCGCCCACAGAGAGCCCAGGACGCGGCAAGTTCCGTTGATGAGCGGACCTCGGCACCCCCGACTCGCGCGCCGTACCCAGGGCCTTTGGCTGGCCGCGTGTCTCCCTCCGGGACCGCTCACCTCCGCTGCCCGAGGAGGCTGGTTGCGCCGCCACTGCGCTCCTAACATGGCGGCCGCCGATCAGGCGGCTCACATACGCAGCGCGGAGGGAGGCAGAGCGGAGGGAGCGGGAGCGAGCAAGAAAGGCGCGCCGCCGGCTCCCCGCGGCCTCTGTCGCCGTCGCTGTCCCCTCCCGACGGACACGGAGAGCCCCCGGCCACCCCACCCCGACTCTTACCCGCCTCACGCCTACCTTAGGGAGAGGGAGAGGGAAAAGGAGAGGTGTCGCTCTCCCAGCGAGCGGGACGCGGAGGCTCCCACAATCCCCCGCAGCAACGGCGCTGGTGAGAGGCGGCAGCAGCAGCGGCTGCAGCCCAAGAACAAACTCACTCTCGCGAGAACTTGCACCCACGCCCTCAGGTCCTGGTTCGGCGTTCGTCAGGCCCCTCCCCCTACTCGGCGCGCGCACCTTGCTCCCGCCCTCGGCTGCGGTCGTTGCTCCTTAACCCAGGAGCCCACTTCTCCGTCACCCGGCTGAGGCGGGAAATGGAGGAAGAGCTACGGTTTACAAGTTCGAGTCCCATATCCGAAAAAGGCTGCTCTTCAACTCCTAAATAGCACAATGCAACATTTAAATAGGCTATATATTAGAAACGATTCCCGAGAGTCCCTGGCTTAGACACGACTTGTATTCTCTCTGGTTCTGAATGTTTGCAAAGGAATGGTAGGAAGTGCTAGAGCCTGGGGACACAAAGAGGAAAAGATACCATTCTGACTGGATTTTAAATCTCAGGAATTCCGTGCCCCCGAGAGTCCTTGGGGGCGGAAGACAGCGAGCCCATTCCCTTGAGAAGACTGCTGCTGCCATTTGTTGAAAGCAAAACATCCTTGGGACTGAAATCCGGGTGCCTGATTCGAGCTGTCACATCAGCGAAGTAGAGGCTTAAGTGAATTGAGTTTGGAGAGTCAATCTGAATGTCAGTCCCCAAATCACTCTCACGGAACTCTCCGTCTGGAGGTAGGGAATTCTCCAACACATTTAATGATTAATAATTATTAATTTTTACGGAGTGTTTACTACAGGGTGGGCAATGCAATAAGCAGTTTACACAGAGAGGCGGCTACTATCATAATTCCCTTTCTTAGATGAGAAAACTAAGACATTAAAAGGTTACGTGAGACCGGGAGCGGTGGCTCACGTCTGTAGTCCTAGCACTCTGGGAGACCGAGGCGGGCGGATTGCTCGAGGTCAGGAGTTCAAAACCAGCCTGAGCAAGAGCGAGACTCCGTCTCTACTATAAATAGAAAGAAATTAATTGGCCGACTAATATATATAGAAAAAAATTAGCTGGGCATGGTGGCGCATGCCTGTAGTCCCAGCTACTCGGGAGGCTGAGGCAGAAGGATCGCTCCAGCCCAGGAGTTTGAGGTTGCTGTGAGCTAAGCTGACGCCAGGGTACTCACTCTAGCCTGGGCAAGAGTGAGACTCTGTCTCAAAAAAATAAAAAGGTTACGTGATTTAACAAAGGTGAAAGAGCTAGTAGGCGGAGTCTTGAAGACTCTTAATGACTCTTAAAGAGGCACTACCATAAAAGGGCTTAGCTATCTTAACCATCCTCCCTTTTGTAAATAAGTGTGGGAAAGGCTTATCTACAAAATAAGTAGCAAGCTGCTGGCCCACAATATTACCTGCTGGTTCACAGTATTACTTTAACTCAATTTAGTCAGTGATATGAGAAGTGTTTCCTGAGTGCCTACTGCACTGTATGTTAGGCCTCAGGGAAACAGCTGTTTACTAGACAAAGGCAATCTTTGCCCTCACAGAGCTTACATTACATAGATACTGAGGCAATTAAATGTGTAGATAATTTTTTTTGTTTTTGAGACAGAGTCTCACTTTGTTGCCCAGGCTAGAGTGAGTGCCATAGCGTCAGACTAGCTCACAGCAACCTCAAACTTCTGAGCTCAAGCGATTCTACTGCTTCAGCCTCCCGAGTAGCTGGGACTACAGGCATGAGCCACCATGCCCGGCTCATTTTATATATATATATCAGTTGGCCAATTAATTTCTATTTGTAGTAGAGACGGAGTCTCGCTCTTGCTCGGGCTAGTTTCGAACTCCTGACCTCGAGCAATCTGCCCGCCTCGGCCTCCTAGAGTGCTGAGCCACTCTAGGAGGCTACCACGCCCGGCCTAAATGTGTATATAAATTGAGATAGCTGAGTGATCTGATGGATAGGAAACTTTCCTAAGAAACTGAAGTTTGAGCTACTGTCTGATGAGTAGGCAGGCCACTAACTAGGTGAAGGGAATAAAGCAATCTCCGGCCTGGGAAGGATCACATTGTGTGAAAACCCTAGGCCAGCCCAGTGGTTCACATCCCTAATTCTTGCACTCTGGGACGCCAAAGCGAGAGGATGGCTTGAGGTCAGGAGACCAGCCTGAGAGAGACCCCGTCTCTACTAAAAAAATAGAAAAAATTAGCTGGGCATCGTGGCGGGCACCTGTAGTCCCTGCTACTCCAAGGCTGAGGCAGGATTCCTTGAGTCCAGCAGTTTGAGGTTGCTGTGAGCTAAGCTGGCACTTAGCTGTGTGGCACTTAGAGTGCACCATGGCACTGTAGCCCTCTAGTCTGGGCAGCAGAGTCAGATTCCGTCTCAAAAAAACAAAAGCAAAATGTGTGAAAACCCTGAGGAAGACTTTGGGAAATTGCACAGATATTAAATAGGGTTAGAAAGGTAGCATAAGGCCTGAGGTTTTAAATACAAATGCAGAGGAACAGGCAGTCACCTGATGCCTGAGATAAACTGGTGAACACATGTCCCATGTAATACCACTCAAAATTTTCAAAAATTTTAACAGCTTATTGAATCAGATTTGTATTTTTGAAAAATTCTGCTTCCACCATGAAAACAATACAGGGGGCAAAGAGAACAGAGAACAGTAGACAAATCGAAAAGATAATTTACAAGGAAAAGAAACAAGTCTTATTTGCTTGGGTATTCGAGATGAGGGAGAGAAGTGTAATGGAAAACCATGTGGTTGACAATGCTGCCCATTAGGATAAGCACTGGAAAAGAATTTGTTGCAGAGATAAGAATTCAAGTTCAGTTTGGGACATGTGGATTTTAACTAAGTTGTGTTGGTCTTGAGCTCAAGGGAAGGTTGTGGGTTAATGACAAATTTACACTTATTGATGTAAGTGAAGTTGAATGATCCACTGATCAAAGTACAGTGAAGAGAGAGGCCTTAGCCTCTGAAAACCAAAATACTTCAAGAACAAAGTGATCAACAGGTCAAATGCTACCAAGAGGTAGAGATGAAGACTTTTAAAAACATCTACAAGATTTACAAACATGGACATTAGTAACATGGAGAATTGCTTCCAGTAAAGTGGGAAGTCGGACTGGAGAGGCTGACTGTATGGAAAGTAGGCAGATAAAAACTAACCAATGCAAAAATTTTGGCGACAGAGTGGAAAGAAATCAGGGTTAAGGTAGGTGTTCTGTTTTACTGTGGAGGGACCTAAACACAATTGACTGGAAGGTTATCTTAGGAAAGAAGTGGTTAGAAAGACAGGGAAGAGTGGGGATAATCCAAAACAGAGGAACGGGACCCAGACAAAATAAATTCCTATACAGTAATAGGAGGTATGGAGTGGATAGGTCAGAGATTTCATTAGGTCTGGTGACTTCAATTTTTTCTATGACAAAGTCATGTGTTAAGGGCTGGAGTTTTGAGAGGGAAAATTTTTAAATAGCCATTGGGAAAAGGAGACCTGCAATTTCACGTCTGTATGTTATGTTCTGATTTCCTAGTCTTGGCAACAGCACTTGGTAGGACTTACAAGGGGCTGAGACTCCCTTGAAATGATACTTAAACCCACTACATACCTAGCTTTGGAAGGACATTATTTTTTGGAAGGCATCCTAATTCTTAAGTGAATCTTGGTTCTTCCACTTGAAACCTGATCTGCTTTCTACATCCTTGGCCTGATTCCAACTGATCTTGGCTAAGCCTTCCCATTAAATTGCCCTCAATCTTAAATAAAACAAGAGGCTCTGGTCTTCTGGTAGAAACATGACTGCCTATCAATTCTCAGTTCAGATATACTTACCCATTTGTTTGCATAAGGCTCTAATGCCATCTGGTGATTGTGCAAAGGAAAGCCAAACCTTTTCAACTGAATAATATTTATTGAGGTCCTTAGTGATATTGGAGATTCAAAAGAAATATTACAGGTGTTTAGAGGCTTATCAGCAAAAAGCCACATAGAAAACCAAAGTGAATAATACAAGATTTCATCCACCAAATAGCTATTTTATGAACGACACTATACAAGGTTGGGGACATAATGATGAAAAAGACAAATCACCAGCCTTTGAAGACCTTGGTCTGATGAAGATTGACAAGGAATTTGGCCTCAAGGTGGGCCTAGTTGTGAGCAGGGATGGGTCAGGAGCTCTACTTACATTTGGGTTACTTTGGAGGGGGAGTGGGTCTGAGTGTGCACTAGGAATGGTGAAGGATGAGGCCTTCAAAGCATGCCAGACTATTCTGGCATTGAACTTTAATGAGGACCTTTTCCAGTTTTGAGCCAAGGAAAAAACATTAATAGATTTCAGGACATATATTTTAACACCACAAAATCCATTAAAACACATTCATTAAATATGAGAAGTCATGTCATCAATAACATGCTTTTTCCTAAAGATTGTTTTGATTGAGAATTAAACTTGTTGAAGGTAAAAAGCCTAAAAGATGGAATTGACAACTTTGAGGTCAATCATTCAACATTTAGCAAACAACTAATATTTGAGACTACTACTATGTGCTAGGCACTTGCCAGTACACAATAGTAAACAAAACAAAGGATCTCTGCTCGTATGGAACTCAGGAGTCACTTGATAATGCATTTTAATTACCATTGAGGGTGCAGTACCATTATTCCTGTTTTACATAAGAAATTAAGAAGCTTGCCCATAGTCTTGCAGCTAGAGACAAAACCAGAGCTTTTGAATATTATGTTATGCTTCCTACAGCAGAGCTGTGGCCTTATAAATCTCCCAGGGCAGATTTAATGCCCTGGAATGAGGTCATTTTTTTAAAGGCTATTTAAAAACAAAAAACATGGGGCTTTCTAGGTAAAAAAAAAAAATAAAATAAAAAAAAAATAAATAAAAACAAAAAACTGTTAACCAATGACTTGTCTTCCAGCAGTGGCATGAAAGTGGGGGCAGGATTTTAAAAGGCATTTTTGAATAGGCAGCATGTATGTGATGAAATTTCAAAACTGTCTTTTGAGACTGTCTCTTGGTGAAGATCTCTGTAATGTATTTGGGGCTCTCTGGGCTTCTGCATGTTGCTTCCTCCAGATTTGAGAAGTTTTATTTTATCATTTTGCCCCTTTCTCTGCTTTTTGGAATAAACAAAATATATACATTGGTTCACTTGATAACATCGTAGTTTGCTAGGGAATTTTTCAGTTTAGGCCTTGTGTTCTCTAGCTCTTGAATTTGGTTCAATCATTTTTCTTTGTTGAAATTCTCCTTTTGACCATGTATTGTTTTCCTGGATTTCACTTAGATCTCTATATTCTCTTGCAGTTCACGGAGCTTCTTTAATAACATTCCAAACTCTGTTAGACAGTCTATAAATCTCCATTTCTATAAGGTCAGCTACTGGTATCTTATTTTGTACCTTTGGTAGTTATTTCCCTGATTGTTCATGATCTTTGTGGCCAGGTGTTGGTGTCTGTATGTTTGAATGAATGGGTAGCTCTTCCAGTCTTTACAGACTGGCTTCAGCAGAGAAAACCCTTCACCAGTCAGCTCATCCAGAAATTCCAGGCACACCCATATGGTGTACCCCATGGGCAGGTTAATCTGCCACCTGGGTCTATAGCAGTGGGCCTAGTACGTATAGGTGGGGGCCCACCTGAAGTTTAGATCTACAACTGCTTGAACCTGAGTTAAGAGTCGTATGTTCTCAGGCCTGGACTTCGAGGCTGTGGGGGCC